GGACAACAGTGAGTAGTCAATGCAATAATGCAACTAGCATGTTTAGCACAAAGCTAGGCACTTAGTAAATGCTCAATAAATATTATTTGTATTTAAATATTCATCATTCATAAGAGAATATATGATTATTTTTTAAATAGTTGGTTATTCTTAATGTGATGGAGTGTAGTGGGCACTTAATCTTTCCTATACAATCAGTTGCTTAGGGTTAACAATCATTACTGTCTGTTTGATTCTTGCTAGTTTATTTTAAAAATGTGTTTTTAATCCTTAACCCAATAATTTCACAGAAGCAATTGTTTATGTCATACAAGATAATTACAACTGGTTTTTGCTAATGGCTTACCTCACTCTGAATATCCTATGCGTCCTGCATTTCACTAATTAGTCATCTGATAACTCCGCTTGTATTAGAGAACTTGCTTCCTAGGAGATATCAGTATTGTCCGGATTTACAAAGTAAAGCCGTAGACCTTATCCTGACATTGAGATCTTCTGTGATCTCACAGTCCCATCCTTGTCTTTCTGAGCTGCTGTCCTACCATGGCCATTCAGCACACTGCACTCCAGCCAGTCACCTCCTGCCTCTGACCTGCTCATTCCTACCTTTGTGCCTTCACTCATGTCTTTCCCCCAGAATGTCATCTTTCTCCAGTCTGCTAAGCCATACCCTCCTGAGAGTCTCCACACAAGCACCCCTGAAACTTGCATTGTTTCCTTGCCCCCAGGGTGAGATTGTCTTGAGCTGCATTTCAATTTCCCTTCCCCTGCTATTCACTTTAATTAACTTCATAAGCTCAACTCTTGGTTCCAAAACATTCACACTTCTTTATATCACCCATTGCAACTTTGCATAAAACTGTCCCTCAAGAACTATTTTTGACTTTTGCATAAACAAATGAGTGAAAACACTTGTTTGCATTTCCTCATCAGTGACTTTCATTGATGTAATCCACTGATGACAGTTAGCAAAACGTGGCAGGAAAAGTAAGGAGTTTTCAAGTTCTATTCCTGACATTAGTTACTGTCTCTATACACTTTAGAATTACCACACTCTCAGAATTTCCAGTTAGATAATTTGGAGAGGGCCAGAATCACATTCATTCATTCATTCATTCATTCATTCTGCATTCATTCATTTATTTGGAAAAAAAACCAAACAACTGATGAAATTGCTCATTCTTTCCAAAAATATCAGTTGAGCTACCTCTCTGCCAGCCACTGTGCTAGGGATAGAGATACAAAAGTGAATATTATATGATCATTGCTCAAAATATTATAGAGTATAATGGAGCTAAGGAGCGCAAACATTTCTCTGGCATTGGCACCTGGTACAACACTCAGGCCTTCCTAATTGAGCCTTCAGAGCAGTAAGCCTCAGTGACTGCCACACAATGAACCAGGCCAGTGCCTGGAGAATGTTCTGAGCATTTACTGGAATGGCGGAGACCTCCCAGAACCCAGTGGAACCCCAGCCCTGTCACCGAGGCTTCCTCTGAAGTAAAATGTAGAGGAACAACACCTCTCTGTTAGTCCTCTGCTCACGTCATCAAGGAGGGGGACAGCTCATGTCTGTCCCTTGGCTTTGACCTTAGTGGTGCTCCATTAACTGTTAGCAAATTGTTTTCTTCACTGTTATAAACGTGGAGGGTGGACTTCATCTGCACACCTAACACTCTGTCACCACCAAGAGCTAGAGGATGTGGTAAGAGGCAGGAAAGTGGCAGGAGTGGAGATTCCTTCCACCTCCCTGTGGAGCTCAGAGTAACACACCCATGGTCCTCAGGGACAAAGGGCCATTCTGGATAAACCTGGGTATGAGCCATTCTACCCACACCCCGTCCTTGCCTTCCCCCTGGGGTTTGACACTCCCCATTGCTTTCCAGAGAACTCCATTCTCTGGGTCCATACCTCAAGGGAGCTACCCCTTCTCTTTGAAAACAAGGGATTCAGACAGGGTAGAAAGCCAGAGTTACTTGTCAACCACGGAGAGCAGCTTTTCCCTCGCAAGGTATTTGACGCGAGGTGGCTGGATGCACTCCCCTGCGTTACAGCTCCTGGATGGGATGTTTAATGGTGTTGCCCAGGAACTGTCAGGGCGTCAGCTCAGGCTCCAGGCAGGCACAGACTCTTCCTGCCAAGAGTGCTTTCAGTTCCACTTCCGCCCCCAGACGAGCACTATGAACAGATCAGGGCGGAGAGAATGCCAGAGCAAATCCAGGCTCCTGGAGCCTGGGAGAGACTGACACAGAAAGGCAACCCCACGCTGGCTTTTTTATGAACAAAGACATGCACGGCTGGTGTCTGGCAGAACAGAATGAAAGGAAGCATGGTGTTTCATAGGAATTAGATGATAAAGACTATACTTTCAGACTGCATTTTGAGAAAATACAGAAACATACTGAGCTGCAGCAATAAGTGTTCTGAAGCAATAGGAGTCTGGAAGGGAGAAAATGATGCCTCAGAACAGACAGCAGCAGTGAGAAAACCTTGGAAGAGGATCCAGAGACTGTGCCCTTGGGCTTCACACTGAAAAAGCATGGTCGCCTATGTACAGGTGAGGAAGCCACAGATGAATGTTCAGAACTTCACAATAGTCAATAGTCAGATGCAGGAACATTGGTAGAGCCAATGATATGCTATGCTCACTATGGAGTGTATGTTCAGCTAGCCTCAGATATCTCATTATTTTCAATAACTATTCATAAAGTCCTATGCTAAATAATAATTCTTCAAATACATAGACATGACTGTTAGTCAGAGCTAATGCCCATATTGGACCCTCAAAATGTTCATTTAAACTAATTTAATTCTTTCCAATGTGGTTCATGCTACTTGGACATGCAGTTGTTTTAAAAAGTACCCGCCATGAGTTGTAATATCTATCACTGAAGGAGTGTGGGACTGGGGATGAAGTCATACTGGGAAGCACATGGTTAGACTACTGAGCAATTCATTAATCCCCCCCCCTTTTTTTTTTGCCCCACCTAAGACACATACCACCAAAGATAATTACCAAATGCATAACTAATCCTTTTTTTTTTATTGCTTTAACATACATGGTTTATCAGTTGAGTAAAGTATTAATAAACTACAGAGTGGCATGACTTGGAATAAAATATTGTTTCAAATAATGAACATCAGAACAAAACCAGTGTTACATATGTGAAATAAATCAATTGTGATTACAATGAAAAAAAATCTCATTAATTCGGTTAAACACAAAAGGCATGCAGAATCTCAAGGAGTATTTGGGCTTCTAAGTCAGTCATGAGGGTACTAAAAAGCTTTTTTCTATTCCTGGATAAATAGTTCATTTTTCTTTTTAAAAATATATTTTATTGATTTTTACAGAGAGGAAGAGAGAGGGATAGAGAATTAGAAACATGAATGAGAGAGAAATATTGATTAGCTGCCTTCTGCACGCCCCCTACTGGGGATAGAGCCCACAACCCAGGTACATGCCCTTGACCGGAATCAAACCCAGGACCCTTCAGTCTGCTGGCCAATGCTCTATCCACTGAGCTAAACCAGTTAGGACAGTTAATTGGTGAAATTAACTTTAAGGATAAATATGGACCAGAAAGAACCACAAGTGCTTTTGCCAACATTTATCCATAGCCAAGCCATAAAACTGCTTTGAATTGGCTGTTACAGTACTGGGCCCCACTAGTGCCTTCACTCAGTCCTGCTCTGCCTTCTGCACAGCAGATGCCCCATACAAAGCACGGTAGTCTGGAAGGTTTCAAATGCCACTCAGCTTAAGCTCTCGGGATATTGCTGCAATAAGCATGACTCTTATCAATTGCTTACTTTTAATCTCAGTCTTAAGTTTAAGTCTGTCTTCATCCTGAATTATACTTATTGGCTGCAGAAATGTCACAAAGTCTGTCAAAATTGTGGCTTATAAAAGTACATCAAATAAAATTATTTTTAATTTTAATTTTTGCCAAGTCACTATGGATCTAAAACATAATCAAAATAGAAAGCAGGGGCACATGGAAATCTCCCATTGGGATTATTTAAAAATATATTTTATTGATTTTTTGTACAGAGAGGGATGGAAAGTTAGAAACATCAATGGGAGAGAAACATTAATCAGCTGCCTCCTGCACAGCCCCTACTGGGTGTACATGCCCTTGAACGGAATCAAACCTGGGCCCCTTCAGTCTGTAGGCCGACACTCTGTCCACTGAGCTAAATCAGTTAGGGCCCGTTGGAATTTTTAATTCCTCCTTAATTACCTAACTTGCCCAAGAAAATTCTGTTTGAAGTCCCAACTACTGGTATTAGGTACTAAATTGGGCATAACACATGTCTACTTCTGTTTTTAGGACTTATACGAGTAAGTCCCGAATACAGAGGGGAACATTAAGCTGTCATTTAAGCCCAACGACATTTTCTTTGGAGGGACTGTACTACTCAAGGAAAAACTTCAAAATCAGTTGGAAGCACAGCTTAACCCTGGAAGCCAGTTGCTGAAATTCTCATATTTATGTCCCCATGGGCATATTGTATACCAGCACAAAGAATACAGAGCTATAATGGCATAATTTGGCAAGCAATGGCACACTATGTCTACAGCAGTTTTAAAGTTAATTTTATGTTTAAAGCCACAGGAAGGAGGAAAGCTCTGCTTAGCAGAGAGCAGGAACTAATACATCAGACTTGCCCATTTGCTTTATTAATCACCAGTCCAGCACAAACTTAGTGTTTGACGCCCAGGTCAATAAAACCAGTCTAAGTGATACTCTTAGTGAATGCCACAGAGAGCTTCAGGTCATTCACAGAAATGGCATGTCTGTGGTTGAACTGGGATTGTGTAGTGCATAGCTGTTGGAATAGACAAAGTTACCTGCAGGCTTTTGAACTATTTTTTTTTTTTATATTTTATTGATTTTTTTACAGAGAGGAAGGGAGAGGGATAGAGAGTTAGAAACATCAATGAGAGAGAAACATCGATCAGCTGCCTCCTGCACACCCGCTACTGGGGATGTGCCCGCAACCAAGGTACATGCCCTTGACCGGAATCGAACCTGGGACTCTTCAGTCTACAGGCCGACGCTCTAGCCACTGAGCCAAACCGGTCAGGGCAGGCTTTTGAACTATTGATCTCATTATTGAGACAGGGCTTTAACATTTTTAAAGAGATGCTACATGCCTTCAAGATACCCAGAACCAAAAAGTAAGCATTTTTCTTGAAAATGTGAAGAAAACTTTAGAATTTCAGAAAATATCTCCTTGGAAATGAAAACACAGAGACCACTGTGTAAATACCATTTACGTGGCTTTTGTATATCCTACATTTAAGAGATTTTTAGGAAGCGAAGCCTTTTTTGAAGAGAATTACCTTTTTTACAGTTGGGAAATCCTTTTCTTACAGCTGGGAATGGGCACCATCATGACAGCCAGGTACATGAAAGCGCCAACCCCGGTTTGAGGAACCTCAGTTTAAGGAAGACAACTATCAGAAAGATCAGGAAGTGATTGGGATAGAGAAGCATAGCCAGCAATGTGGACAAGAAGAGTCTGGCTTCAGTTGGCTCTGGGAATAAGGATCATGTAAACGTGAAGGACTGCATGTACCTGTAGTAAGGTACACACTGCATACATTTGTCATCTCCATAAAGAAGGAAACAGTTATTTGCTATAGTTTGAATGCAAGGAAACGAGTGTATTTCAATAATTCTTGGCGAACACTCCTTTGAGATCTCTAACTGTAAACACACAAACACACAGTAGTAGTAAAAAAGGAAAGAAATGATATCCACAAAATTTTTTCATCAATCCGTAATAAAGATGGATTAAAACGGGCATTTTCATTGCATGTTTCTCCTCTGTGGAATAAAAGTAATTTGGCAAAGAGTTTTCATCTTACTGCAAATCACATGGATGAAATATTCACTCAGATGTCTGATATCCGACATTCAGTTATTAGAGGTAAAAATATGCAGCAAATTTTATCTGCTTTGAGTAGTGTAGGTATGGATTAATAATGTTTTTAAGTTTTGATATTTGTGCTATTACATGGGAAGCCAGCTAGCCAGCCAGCATTTGAAATTTGTATCTTATTTTCAACTGAAAAAATCCAATCTCGTTTTTCCAGGAAGGCTAAATGATGGGCTGACCAAAAGCTCAGACTCTAGAGTGCAACAAACTCAGTTTTAGAGCCAGTGAGTTTTTGAGCGAAATTCTCATTCCGTGTAAGCGTCAGGTTCCTTGTATATGGAATGGAGCTAACAATGTTTATCCCAGAGGGTTATTGAGAGAATTTATTAAGGTAAAAGCATTTAACACACAGCTAGCAGAGGAGGGCTAGGATCACTGTGCTGTTATTGGTGTATCCTAAGAACCAAAGTAGTGCCTGGACATCCTAGTTGTTCAACAGATATTTGTTAAATATATAAATGTGTGATTATCCTGCTTAGCTCTTGACAATGGCGAAAATTTCACCCATTATCAGCTTAGAAAACTGGCTGAATTTCCATTTCTCATCTTTCACACAATATTAATCATCATCAGCTATTATATAGTCCATCCTCCTGCCTCCTACATGACTTCACACAAACCACCAAAGACAAGTACTCTATCATATCCCTCTTCCTCAGGAGGAGGCTGCCTGGTCTTCATGGAACCAAAACTCCTCCTTCCTAGGCTCTGCCTGGCAACTACCTTTCTTTCACCCTCCCTCACCTCTGTCACTTTCTTACCCGTATTTCTTTAGAAATGCTCAGTCTTTACTGCTTTTTCTACAACGTGTTAAATGAATTTTGAAAGTCAATCCTTGTGTTTGTTCACATAAACCAATGGGGACTATTGGATGGCATAAGGCAGGCTGCAGCCATGAAATATCCCAGGATCTACATAAGGCCAGCCCTACCAACCATCTACTGCCTGTAGACAGGTTGCTGGTAAGGTTGGGTTCCATTTGGAAATGGTGTTCTTAATTAGTATTAATTATCTTCTTTTGAAATGTTAAGTGATAGTCTCTATCCTGCTAGTTAGGAGAAATCATTAATGCTATAAACTATTATTTCTTTTGCTATAATAGAAAACATTTTGTGTTCATGTGAATTGGTTAAAAATGACAAAAATAATTTAAAAATTTCTTCTTGCTCTCACTTAGATGTCTAGGATAGTATTACAACCTTAATAAGGACATCTTTAGTTGCATACACTTGATTTTAATAACATCCATATTTTCTTTCCTAACAAACAAGCCAGGCCTATTGGATTTGGTAGTAATGTGTAAAATACTAATACTAAAGATATTATAATGGTATGGACAGAGAATTATGACAAAAGAAATGAAATAGGGTTCTTATTAAGTCAGTATTGATTCCTGGTATGTGATATATAAATATAAATTTCTAAAGTCACATTTTCCTCATTTACTTAAAATTATTATTAATATAATAATGCAGTCTATAGTCTTTAAACTATGTGCTCCTTAATTTTCTGATCAAGTCAAACAGAAATACTTCTGTCTTTCCCAAACCAAAAAAATATTTGATTCCTAAATATACACTAGGAAGGTTGGTTGGGAGAAAACAAGCTGACAAAATAAATAGGTTTCATTTAACTTCATTTAACTTGATATTCTGATGCCTGGTTTGCTGACCTAAAGAATTACTTAAAAATGATATTAAAACGAGCTGGCAATTCTGCAATGAGTTCACCAGCGAATGATAAACATCACAAGGAAAAGTCTCAGATCTCATTCCACCCATTCTGCAACTATTGTACAGGCATCTGTATCCATGGGAACTACAATCCCTAGCATGGAAGTGTACCTTTCACACCAAAAGGAATAAGAATATATTCTGGAATAGAAAAAAAAGGAATAATGCTGCTGGGAATTAAAATTCATAATTTTAACTAGAGCACTAGAAATTATTTATCAATTTGTAGGTAGCATAGACACCTAAGGAGATGAGAGATACTTTTGGTGCATGGGCCAAGAGGGAAGGACATAAATTGGAGGTAATTGCCTGGGATGAGCAGTCCTGTATCATTCTGGTGGAAAGTATCAGCAGTTAATAGGACACCTAGCACAGGGATGGGTGAGATGAAAGGACCACCTTGAAAGTGAAGGCCACTGAAAATTTGCCTCTGTTCTTAGGCAGGTTTTTCAGCCACCCTTCATGGAATTTGAGTAGCATTCATTATTGGGTGTGAGGACTAAACTGGGCACTTAACTGTGTAGTCACTGTCTTGCTGTGGTATGACTTAAAAACTGACTTCCTTTGAAGCCATTGAGTGTGCAAGAAAGAGCCTTTCTGTATAGCTATGGTGGACCTTCCCCCTTAAACAGAAGTATTTTTTATGGCAGACATTTATTTATATTGATACTAATAAATTCAGCAATGTGCAAAAGTCAGAAGGCACATTTAAGAATATTGTATTTTCTTATGCATTTATAGTTTTCGCTCATGCCATAAGACAAACAGGAAGGGAATATATAACAAAATACTATAAAAAAAAAGTATCTTTTTTTTGTGTGACCCATTTGAGTTATAACCCAGAAACTGTATTAGAAACAAATATTTTAATCCAATAATTTTCACTTGTGATGATTAAAAGGGAGAAATTCACATGACTCGCCTTTCCTGTTTAATGAAAACCTTCCAGTTTTTATAATAAAAATCTTAAGTGGATTATGATTTCTTGGATATTTTCTAACTTATCATTCTGATTCCAGTCTAATGTTTGACAATTATGCTGGTGGCTAACCAGGAGGTCCTTGTAGGTAGTCTAAACCCTGTTCTCCTCCATAAATTGATTTCACTAAAAGAAAAAAGTGAGCTTTGATTAACAGGATGAAGCACTGATCTTTGTGATGTGATTTGAAAAGGTGTATAGATGGGCCACCAAGGTATCACTCTCATTAAAGTTTTCCCCTAGAGAAGAAGTGCTTAAATATAAATACATTCTATCTAATGCATTCATTCATACTGGTTAGATTCATTTAACTATGCTTTGTAATGCAAAGGTTTGTTAATATTTTTGCTGTGTATTAGCACTTATATCATTAGCAGATTTGAATTGGACTAACTCTTGAAATGTTGCCCAACTGCAAAAACTCACCCAGGCAGACAGATGCCTTTCTCAGCTCTATGCATCCTGTTCTTATTACACCTTTGATTACTACAGCTGGCTTTACTCCTGGGCTATTTTCCAAGTTTATTTTTTTCAAAATAAGTTTTAATTATAAGTTGTTTACTTTGAGCTAAGTCGGAAATCTACCTACTTTGAAGAGGAGGCCTTGTTCACATCTCATTTTGTGTGGAGTTGGTTTATTTTAAAGATACAGAGGATATTTGGTAATTGAATAATTTCAAGTTACTTCTGTTCTTTTGGAATCTAATGCCTCATTCTAACTTCCAACCTGTGGAAAGCTGAAGCAGGACCAAAGGGACATTAGATTTTCTAAAGGGGACTGTTGTGATTCTTGAGCATGTGGCTTTAAGAACTAAGATATGCACCTAGCAGTATGGTGATATCTTAACTATTTATTTTCTTAACTAAATTATAAATTTGCACTTCTATCTGAGAAAAGGATGTGTTATAGATGTCACTCTTGTAATGTTTACTCTTAGAGTAGAAAGTGATGGTAACATTTCAACAAAAGAAACTATTTTGCTTCATTTATCAAGGTAGTTCTAGAACATAGAATTATTTTTAACTACTTAATTCCTTCCTGCACTGCCTTCTCTTTTAGAGAGTGGGTTCTGTCCAGAATAATTACTGTAGGCCAGTGTATAGTTCAAAACAGGGGAGAGCTTATTGCTGTTACTTCCTTGGAAGTTTATGTGCTGAGCCCAGGCAACTCAAGTTTAGAAAAATAAAATAATTCATTAGAATAAAAGTTATCATTTCCTCATAGTTAATATAACCTATTAAATAAATGCTTTTCCCCATTTTTTTTCTCTGAGTTACTCAGACTAGTCGTCCTAATATCAATTGGTGCTGCATTTTTGAAGTTTCCTTTATCAAACTATGATGAGGTGGCTGTTGAAATAATATGTTATTGGCAATGTTTTACAAAGTGTAGTTACAATTGTAGTATCACATTAATAAAGTAGAATAGGGAGCCCATGTTTAAAATTCTGTGAATGGTGGCTCTATGCATGAGAAAAAGTGTAACTGAAATTTAACTCCATCAGAGAACAAAGGTGAAAGCATGAGAGAGACAAGCAATGCACTGGACTCAGACTATTATGAAGTTCATTACAAACTCAACTAGGGATGAGCACAATGATTGAGACTGTGCACTGGGAGCACAGTTGGAAAAAATGACCTCAATGACTTTTATTTAAAAGAGTGTTATTAAAAATCACTCCAGCTACATTGCCATGAACTCTAATTCATAGTTCAATGATACATTTTCCACAGTTATATCTTACTCAATGTCAAAGGTTTTTCAAACTGGCTGTTTCCTTTTAATTACAATTGCAAGCTGATACAAATGAAATTTTAGAGTCATGCAGAACTACTTAACACTTCTGTTGGCATAATTCACTCAGGGATATCCTAGTAGTTAGATGTCCCATTTCGCCAAGTGGGTAATAACTCTCCCTCCATGTATAAATTCTGATGGACTCGCTTAAACCCAGTTCTCAACACGCAGAACTGCTAAACACAATGGGGTCCAAGAAGGCACATTTGTGGCATCAAAACTCATTGTAACTTTTATAATGTTAATAAATTGCTTCATTAATAATCAATGCTGATCTTAAAAATCTAGGATGCAGCTTGACTGCTCAAGGTTGGTTAGTTTCTGATAGATATCACCCTAATCATTTGGCAGTAGACAGAGACATGTAGAGATTGATTCCCCACCCCATAGCAAGGATCACACATCTGTGTCAGATCAGGCCAAGTAAGAAAAGTTTTAATGGGAAAATATTTTATGAGGTCTTTTGTTCTTAATTGAAAACGAAGTCAAGAGCTCATGTCAATTTTTAAATTTAAAAGTAAAAGGGTGAATGTAATCAAGCTATTACCGATGAATAAGACTCATTGGAATCTCCTATGTTCATTTGGTAGTGAATGTAAGATATTCTCTGTGATGGGAAAAGCTGAACAGTACCTGAAGTTTTCATTCATTCAACAAACATATATTGATTACTTATTAGGCATACAGAGATAACATGACCCCAAATATATGGTGCTCATGTTAGTTACACCTTCAATGCTTTATATTACTTGTGGCTTAAAGATAGTGAATTTACAGTATGAACCAAGTGTAAAATTAAAGCAGTGTGTTTAGCCAGGACTTTTTAATATAGACATAGAGTAAAATAGTGGTTTCAGTAGACCTGTCTTCCTCTAAATTCACTCATGACCTGCACTGGGTGGATTTTTTTCTTTGCGGAGCCTCGTCTGATAGCTGCACAAGTTTCTTCTGGCTTCTCTCTTTTAATCAAGGGCTTTTTTGCAGGAGCCTTCATTCTCCACATCACAACTGGGTGCCGGGGCCCAGTAGGACTCTGAATTCGGATGATCTTGGTTGAGGCAATGTAAGACATTTTCACTGTTTGCACGACAGCATTCATTAGATTTTTGGCTGCTTGGATTAGGGAGGTGACACTGTCCAACTGTAGGAGGGAAAAGAAAGAAATACTAGTCAAGAGTGCAATCAGGAATCTAGAGAGATTTAATGTTATTGAAACTGAAATGCGCCACTTTATTTTTATACCAGAAATGAATGAGTTCATTCAAATTTTACATATAGATATGTGTGTGTAATTATCTACATCAATCTATCCATCTATATTTGAGCATTTATCTTCTGCACAAATCCATATTTTATCTTTTAAGATATGTTAGATTGATTTCTTTCTGCTGGTTTTTAATGAAATGGGTTCTATAAATTCTATATACTATTATAACGTCCAGATGATCATTGCTTTCCTTGTAATGGTTCTCCCTTTTTGCAGGGGTGATACTAGGCCCTTCTATAACATATGACTATCCACAATAAGAGCTATATTACATATAATTTTATAAGAACAACTAAAAAGTCTTCCTTTCAGGGAATTGATAGTTTATGATAAATATCATACACACATACAAATGTATACATGAATGAATACTGCTTAGTTTCATGAAAATTTCCCAAGCAATTTCACCTAAAATTTTCTATATTAAACACAGAACTTTTCAATGTACATGCAGTGATAGTAAAGAAAGACAAGGCTTTTCAGTCAAAATTGGCTTTAAATTCCTAGCTTGCCATTTGGGCAAATCATTTAACCAGTTTCATCCTGGTTTCCTGAAATATTAAGTTGGAAAAAAATGCTTATTAAATTTAAACAACATGTGTAAAGAACCTGGTAGGGTGACTGCTAAATAGTTAATTATTTTTAAATGCTTAAGAATAATCCCCTTCTTGTGAAGATGGACAAAATGGCTTAATCATGGAGCTGCATTAATGACATCACTAAAAGAAACCTTTTCCCCACATGATTCCATTTTCAATTACTATATTGTCTGAGTTGTTCACAAATTAATCTCAGGGGAAAATGGGGTGGTACTCCTAGAATCTTGCAAAATACCTTACAGCTAAGCCAGGTTGGTTCATTTTTATACAACTAATGCCTCTTCCATAATTTCCGTTTGACACATTGTCATCCACAACCAACTAAGACCGAAAGATATGCCTTCAGCATCCCCTCTCTGTGATGTGTGCTGTCAAGGTTGAGACTCAAACGCCCACTCTGTAGTTCCTAAGATCCATCAGCAGCTGCCTGGACTGAGTACTCTACCTTTGCAGCCTGCAGAGTCTCATCTCACATACAGAATAAATGAGAGAAGGGAAGTAGTAAGTGAGGTTATGTGCCTGGGGCAGTGGTCTGGCTGGCTGCTTCCTAGGGGGAAAAAAATTTAATTAGCTCCATTATATGCCAAGCCTGAAATTCTTGAAAAGGTAACAAAATTTGTAATTTGAAAGGTAGTAATACTAGACAACTACACATCTTTAAGTCTTTTTGTGTATTGAAGCCAGAAATGTAAAATCTGTTCATTGGCAGGAATGACAAATGTTTGGCAAACATTAAACAGGATTTCATGAAGTACTCCTATGTACTAGAGACGACACAGCTTCTACACCTGTTCACAACTCAAAAGACAATGGACTTTGAACAGAATAACACACATTGTTATTAACATTTCTCTATGGGCAAACTGTAGGCTATAATCGGTACTTTAATAATTAATAATTTTCATTAAAAACCTCCCAGAACCCATTTAGATGTTAAAGTTGTTTCCAATCTCACCATAGGAAGAAGAAAGTTTTTCCTAACTGCTGAATTGGCATGAATAGTGTTGAGGATTCTTGGTAAATTTCTCTCTCAAACATGAAAATACTTGGTTTACCTGAGGGCTCTGTAATAGCATAAAGCCTTCCGCAGAAGAAGGTCCCCCGCTGTTCAGGATGTCACCAGTGGCTTTCCCGTACGAAAACATATATTCCCTAATCCTCTTTTTGACTCATTAACCTTTGCTATGTATGGATTGTATTTATTTCCTTTTGATTTTTCTATATAAAGGCTGTGCAAAACCCGTAGTCTAGAGAGGACGTTTAAGCGCAATCTGTGCCTTGTCTACTTTCCTCCCGGCATCAACAAAGCCCTGTCAGTAGCATTGTGATCCTTTATGCTGGCTTTTTACAAATGCGTTTACTTTGAAATCCAAAATGGCCATAGTAAACCTCCTCTGGGTGACTCAAACACCCACAGGACGAAGTATCACTCTATGAGAATGAAGACTGTTTTGCAGACAGATTAGGACAATTGCTCGGAGAATACTGTTATTTCGTTAGGAAAGCTTATAAGACATTCTATGAGGCTCTTAAGGGTCTGAGAGCTATGTGTGTTAAGATGCATGACTCTCTGCGATTACCAAATCGTTGGCCACACAAGCAATGAGAGCAGGCAAGCCTAGCAAATGGTCGGGAATTTTGCTGGAGGCCCAAGCAGTGGGTCATACCTACTCACAGAAAATAACTGCATAATGTTACGTCTTCAAAAAATTATGCATGTCCTTTTATCCTTTTATCCAGGTTTACTTTCATGAAAAATCCTTCAAAGGGAGGATTCAACAGAATTATTTCTGTGAAATCAATAGTAAATTGGAGTAGGGTAATGCATCATATTAGAGACTCTGTTACACTTATTGAACAAAGTTCTTCTGAGTTTCACAATTCAGTCAATTAACCTGTGCAGGACAAGAACGTAAATTTACTTGAAAGGCTCGGTAGAGTCATCAGACTACAAAACCCAGGACCCCATTTTTTTTTTAACTCATTACAACTCATGTTCAACAACTGAAAATTCTTCTAGGCAAATGTAACTTGAAACGTTTACCGTAGAAGGAGCCATTTTTCCTAATATCTGATGACATTCCTGTCTGATCCACATGAAGTGTTCTTAATCAAGGTTTCAAAGGAAAATGAAATTGGCTTCCAAGCCTTTAAACCTCTTAAGTTTAATACGTAAATATGCATGCAGGTACATATACACAGCTTCCCATTTTCCCTCTCCCTATTCCATAAAGGGGCCAAAGTATTAAGTAACTTTTCAAAGAGGATTTTTGACCTAATTTAAAGGCTGGTATCCTAAAGAAATCAGAGATCTGTTCTGATTTATAGTGAATAGGAAGACAGCCACCCTTCCTGTGTTGGTGACCTGTGCTTATTCATACAACTCTGGTGTCGTTTCAAAATGCCTGAGCTTGTCAGTCTATTAATGACACAATAAGTTTCTCAGTATTATCTGTGTCCAAACATAAATTGGGAAGTTCTGGCTCTTTTGTTGTTTTATTCTTATTTTGAGGATCTAAATGAATATAAAGTGATTACGTTCAGTAAGTTAGCTCTTACTCTAACTGCAAGATGTATTTGCAAACAATCCAAATTACGACCGTCTAGAGATAGAGTCCTCCTCAATATTATCTTTATACAGGAAGCTTATTTTATTGCAAACTCGCTTCTGTAATATGTATTCTGTGCTTTCAGTTAAGCTACAGTACAGTTTTGTCCAGTTTTAAACATGCTTTCAGACATAAGCCTCAGTCCTATTTAGAGATATGTCTACAATCCTTTGGTACAGAAAAGAAGCATAACAACAATCCAAGGTATTTTCTGTTTCCTCATAAAATGCCAACTTTTTCTCCATGTGATTAATATACATAGACCATCTGTATCTTTTTACAAAATCCAACATTTAAATTTCTGTGATGTAAGCTTCCACAACTCTGACAAGCTAGAATGTCTGCTGGAAAACCCTGTCAAAATCCTATTATAATGGATTTTTTAAAAGATATTTTAAAATTGATGTTTAGAAAGAGAAGAAGGGAAAGGGAGAGAATGGGAGGATAACCTTGATCAACTGCTTCCTGCACAACCCCCTACCCGGGATGGAACCCGCAACCTGGGCATGTGTTCTGACCAGGAATCAAACTGGCAACCTTTTGGTGCACAGGATGACACCCAACCAACTGAGCCACATTGGCTAGGGCCCTATTTTAATTATGGATTGCCAAGAGGAATACTGGGTGGCGGGGTGGGGAGAAAGACATGCTAGTTTTTCCTTTTGTTAGTTTCAAAGTTTCTCATCTATATTGTGTCAGAACAGCAGAACATCTTATACTCATACTGTACTACTCTAACACCCCATATTCCAGACACAAGGCATTCATCAGATATGTTTGCATCATGATGACACGTGTAAGTGAACTTCACTCCCACTGATGTGAATCTCATCTCCTTGCACCTGGCTGTCATCTAGGGAAAACACAGCTTCCCAACCCTTGTGTGAACTGCCATGCCAGCTACTGCTGCTGGGACTCCTGTGGAGACAAAAGTGTGATGTTGCCTGGAAAGATGTAGTCCCTGTCCTATAATCTTCTGGGTAAACTGATGCCAAGTGTATCCCATGATATTCTTCTCAGTGTCAATACTTATCCTAACTTAAAGATCTACCAGGGACCTCTACATTGCACAAATGCAATACTCAAAAGGCAAATATGGGGAGTGTGGCTCCAACTATACTAACAGCTTATACAAATTGTGTGCTTCTTGTGCTTCCTATATCTTGGCACTGTCGATGTAAATGAACTCACAGTAACTCAGTGAGGTAAGGACTTCTCTTATCTCCATTTCGTAGATGAGGAAATGAACTAGAGTGCTTGGTAGCTTGCTCAAGGCAACACAGCTCTTAAATGAAAGCTGGAATTTGAATCAAGGATGTCTGGGTCAAGTACTTGGTGCTCTTCTTACCCATTATATAGCCCTCCCTCTCAGTAATATTCCACGGTCAATGTGTGTTTATTTTCAGATATTCAATAGTTGGAACAATTGCACTAACATTAACATAATGTCTACATTCTTTAAAAATTGACTACCCAATCAATGCTTTGGTAAGGTTGTAGAATTTTTGTAATGCCTACTGGTACTAAGAAAAATGAGGATATCGTACTTGGCAAGTTATTTTGTCAAGATGGTGGTTTGATATTGTTTATATTCCATCATATTCTAAGTAGCAAGTTTTTTAAAATCTTTATTATTGAAAATATTACATATGTCCCCATTTGCTGG